TGAAGTAGGCTAATTTCGCTATTAGCCCACAAGTTATAAGTGGCCTCTAGCAAGACATTATAACTACCTAATTCACATGGGGACCGATGATCCGATATAACCTATCATGTAACCGCATCATATCCCTTTTGTCATGCGATATTTTGGTCAAGTATGAGACATGGAATTGTCATTATCCTTTACTTGACTGTTACATTTTCGATCTCTAAGTAGACTGGCAGTAGTAATGGAACAACCCTTTCAATTATAGTATGACCATACATTTTCTCAGTCTTACTCATTGAGGGCCCCAGTAATATCTCTCACTTAATGTGAGGGACAAATGCCATCTTGACCACTCATATTCCTCTGCATAAATATCACTAAACTCAATCATAGCCTTTATGATCACCCGATCAAAGGTGACTTTTCACTAGGTCAAAGTTCAGTGCTCATCATATAGGAATCCATGATGACCTTAGGTCAAAGGGCTTAGTGATATAGTTACATATGAGATAAGCTTATGACTTATACTATGCAGCTTTCTCATAGCGGGTCGGTCCAGTACCTTGTACTCTTTCAAGTACCTACGACTTTGATTTGTATCTCTATAATTAATCAAAGTCATACTAGTCTTGCTTTATCTATGATCCCTTATAGATGACCGACCAGGGACATTTAGGACAATCACTGTAGTTTGTTTAAGGATACAGTTATCATAGTGAACATGCAATTGTTATGATAACAAAAGAGAAATTCATTAAATAATAATATGCATAGTATAATGATTGACCTTAAGGTACAATTTCCATCACAAGGAACACCACTAGATTTTCTTTTCATTAGTTCAAGAGAAAATAGGAGGATTTAGCTTAATAAATCAGTCAATTTTGCTATGGCAGTCTCTTCTTTAGCAGCATTAATAATTTCTCTTTCAGTGCCACGTGCAGATGATGAAGCACCCTCATGAGATTGAGGGTTTGAAGGTTTAGCCTCAGATAAAGTCTCTTGAATATGTCTATGGGATTGGCTACCCTTAATCCTAGCTCTCTGAAGACCTTGCCCTTGACCACAAAAGGGAGATTCATTTTGTGGAGCAAAGGACCTATTAAATGTCCTACTGGTACTAGAGCTCATATTAGAGGGACAACACCTAGGTGGCATTCTCACTATATAAGAAAATATAAGAAATATTTAGTTCAAAACACAGTAATTATATAAGAAGCACAATAAGTAAGAAAGGGAATGACTCTTTTTGGGACATCCTAATAGGACCTTCAATGAAGTCTCAATTATTATTATGCCCAGGTTCATAATAATAATTGAAACTTCAAAGAAGAATCCTTATTCCACATAACTAAAGAAACCTAAGCTTTGATTCCATTTGTCATACCCAAATACTAAGGGTATGATCAGCATGAAATATAAGGTGAACTTATATTTTATAAGCCTTGACTAACCAGAAATCCCTGATATATGTAAGTTATATATAATAATAAAGTTTGTAAAGTTTTAAATGAAAATCATTTTTCATCCTCAGATGATATAATGGAGCTTTCTTGCTCTCAAGTTTTGAGTAATATCATATTAGCATCGACAGCAAACCAGGCTTCCATGCTGCATATATGCCATTATAGCACTTCATGGGCAAGTCCTTCTTGCCTGCATTTAGTACTTTATCATCAAAAAATTGGTATATTGAAATTGCAAGCCTATATACAATTTTATAATTATCTATATTTAATTAAATACCTTAATTCATGTTGTCTATCCAACACAATAGGTTTTTTGAAGAACTTACATGTCATCAAGAAGCTCATCCCTCGCCTTCCTTGTCTAGAGATTTCAACAAAAAACTCCCAAGTTTGACATTTAAATGATCATAGTTGTTTTTGTTATGAAAAACACCACAAATCATGCGCTAAAAAGATCATACCTCAGCTAAAATTTGCTTGAAAGTGTCTTCAACTTCTAATCCTAGACATTGAGGAACTTAATGACCATCAACATTAAAAAGCATATAATTGCAAAGACAAAATGCAATTACTATATGTCAATCATTATTATTACAAATGCATAAGTTATTAATGACTTATAGTTTTGAGGTGCCCCAACTTAATGTATTATAGTCTTTAAAGAATAAATGCATCTTTAACACGATTCAAAGGATAGAAAACTTAAGTATTTGAGTTTGGGTAGCATTATAGCATCATTTGTATGCTAAAAAATAATAATAAAATGAAGCAAAGTTCATATATTAATATAATCAAAAATAAAAAACTATATTTATAAAAAAAGCACTTCCATAAGCACTGTAGAGACCAATAACCTAACGTAAAAGACAAAGAAATTCCTTAAATATTAAAATCATCAACCATTTTAAAACAACTAAACTTAACTGCAATACTTTCTTGAAAAAGGGACTCATCAAGCAATGAAAAACCATCATCTTACTCTTCCAAATAACAAAACAACGAAACATCAAAAAAATATTGATTGAGGAAGTTGTTACTAGATTTACAAGAGCAATCTCAATCAACTCAGTGATGTCAAGGAGCAAGGGTAGGGACCACCCACCATTGAAGGATCAAGGAGCTACAACTATTGCAAAGCAATGAGAAGATGGAGAGAGAAACATTGATAGGGTGGATGATAAAATTGAAAAGGGAGAAAAATATGTGAATGTAGAGAGAGGGGATAGGACAATGGTGGCCATATCATACATTATCATTGGAATTAAATACAATTTAATTTTGAAATCTGCTTTCATTTTGAAATTTGAAATTCAAATTTGAGGGAGGCAATGACGGAGAGCTAGAGTTGAAGTCATCTGATTGGTTGGAAAAAAAATGAAAAGCATTTGGATACAAAATTATTTTATCTCAAAAATTAGCACACTTTGAAATTTATTCACAAAATAAAATTAAGATTATTTATTTCAATAGATATTTGCATTTTAATCATTAATTATAATTTTTTTAAACATGGATCCGATTAAAATTTATTTTAAAAAATATTTATACGATTTAAAATCAGTGGACTTTATCTTTACATGTTGATTATTTTTAGGTTCTTGCAAATTGAAAAAAAATCAATAAAATTTATTTGTCAGGATATTTGCATTATATCCACACACAAAAATAATCATTAAATTTATTTAAATTTAAATTCAGGTCCAATTTTATTAATATTAATATTTATTTAAAATATTGATAGAATTTAAAATCAATTAATGCATGCATTATGGGTTGACTATTTTTAAGACCTTGCAAATTGAGGGAGAAATTAATGGAAGGAGAAATCAATGACGTGCATGGGGCTTTGATATTCTTGAAGTAATTATTATATATTATTAAAAAAATAATGAGTCAATTCTCCACATGTCACTACAGGAGAAAAATAAGGATCTGATGTTGCTTCATGATATGCTGATATGTGTGCTTTGACATCTTGATTATATATATATATATTGTCAAACACGTGGCTCGAATATTTGATAGTTATACAAATAACTGTCAAATATTTGATAGTTAACAAATTTTTAAATGGCCATTCTGCGCTACATTCAGATTAATCTCCACAAGCCTTAATGATTCCTGCATTTCAATATACAGAATCTTCAATCAACATCATTTCAAAAGCTTTAAAAGAAATGAAAAGGAAAGAGAATGATAATAGTAATACCCTTGATCGAAAACTTAAAAAGGTCCTCCTAGGTACTCATTACTTCAATGTGTATCATCTCATGTAGAGGAATCTCCTCTAGCATAAATTCAAACTCCTCATTTCCCTTTGGGTCATGAGTTTTCCCTATTATCTGCAAAATTTCATTCCCTGGTTTCGAAAAAATGGTAGACCAAGATTAAAAAATGGACTAGAACAATCATATAGTTAAACATGTTAATATGCTAGAAGTAAAATTTACCTAAAAGGACATTGACGTGCTCGTCGAATGAATAATAGTGACCAGTTGAATAACAGGTATCCCATCTTTGAACTCACTTCTCCTAGGGCCTCTTCCAATTCCTAAAATTTTATAGTAGATCTGAAATGTTAGTTCTATGAAAATCAGTTTCAAAATTAAAAATATGCAAGGGTTTGATGACTATATCTTGAGACTTAGATGTTATACCAAGGTTACAAGTCAGATATTTGTCCTAGACATCACAACATCCATATCAGTAAGAGCAAGAACTAGGGATGCCCGGTCACTATTTACTATATGAACTATCAAAGCAAGCATTGCAAGTTGATGCTTTTTTTTGAAGAAAGAATAGCGGCGGGCCACTCATAATGATGTCTCTTCCCATGTTTGTGGTCCTATATATGATGGCTTGTTCTTTCTGTTTATTAATCAGATCTATAGTTGAAATTAACATCATATGGAATTTAGATAAATTTGTCCTTGATAATATTTTTTTGGAGAAAAACCAAATGCTTCATATATATATATATATATATAATCACAAGATAACCTCTTGTGGAGGAGTGGACTTTAATATTATTGAAATATAAGGACTCTCATGATAAACAGTTATTTATATATCTTTGCACATCTTAATATGATCAATCTCATAATGTTAAGCCTCGAAAAGGATGCAATATATGCAAAAAGGATTAAACTGATTGCAACGGCACCATAGTTAACGTGATCAGCTTCTATGTTTATAAGGGAAATGGAACAAACCTCAATGTTGCCCATATTTGTCACGCCCCAAAATAGACGGTGACCGGCACGGGTGTGAACCATTCTCACATTCCCGCAAGCCTCCAAGTGAACATTTATTTCATTTTTTTTAAGAAAAGAATAAAATTCAATCAAATCACATGGGAATTAAAATAACTTCTTTAAATTCATTATTATAACAAAATGTCGACGTATTTGTAGAAATTTCAGCAGAACCTCCCCTGTAACTAGGATCTCTCAAAAATTTTACAACAAAATTTTTTTTACAAATAATAGTATAAGTCAGGAGCGTAGCTCCTTCTAGCTAGCAACCAATATACAGGCAAAAATAAGATTCATCAACAACCTATGTGGAGCATCTACTCTTTCTTTCAATTCTAAAAGACATACAAATTATATATTTACATTAAAGTAGCAGTACCAATCAAAAAAGATCCACCCACTGTAGCTAGTTGCCCTTTTTGAGGTCGTTAGTGGAATCAGCGTCAGCTAACCAATCTGAGGCCAAATATTTTTTTTCCAGTGAATAGCATTCCCATGATAAAATCTTTAAAATTTAAATTGACGATCTTTAATAATGGTGTCAAGAAAATTGAAAGTAATTCCACCAAAATTTATAAGCATGTAAGTCATAATCATACTTGTAAAATAAGAATAAATTGAAAACAATTTATGTTATCATGCTTAAAGAAAATGATCTGCTCTCATATGACTCAAAGTGATACAAATTACTAATAAAAATCAAGTAAAATTTGAAAACATATAATAATCACCATTTAAAAATTTGAGAACTTAACAGAACAGGTTACAAACGTGAACACACAGTTCACGAGGGTAAATAATCAAACACGGCTTATGCCAGGAAAACAAACACGGACACATCAGTCCACGAGGGTAAGTAACCAAACGCAGCCGAAGCTACGAAACAAATGTGGACACACAGTCCACGAGGGTAAATAACCAAACGCGGCTCAAGCCACAGAATCAAACGCGGGTACGAAGCCCACGAATACCAAATGTGAGAATAAAACTCACGAAACAAACTAGCTAGTGTTTAATCACAGCGCGCTACAGACTAACGGAACTACCGTTAGTAGCAGTGTTCTGTATAGAGTTCTCTTAGAAATCCCATTTCAAACATGCGAGAGAAATAATTATTTGTGAAGTCAAATTTTCATTCTCAAGATCAAACTCGCATGAATTACTTCAAATATATGAAACTTGTCAAATCAATACACCATAACGAATGTACAACTTGCGCTAATCATGTAATCAAGAGATTTTTGAAATTCAATAGGCAAGGGTGCCTTTATCAATATTAAAAATATATTTCTTAAGGAAAAAAACACTAATCATAATACAACTATTCTTTATCATTATTTTAAAATTTCTAAAACTAACATAATTCATAAAAATGAAATATTTTAATAAAAGATTTTCAATGAATACTCATAAGGAATGCTATTCACTTACCTGTTGAAGTTCTAAATTCTCGAAAGTATTCTTCTTTTAAGTCTTTTCAGGGTCTTGTTCTTCCACACACCCTATAAAACATAAATATATATAATTTTAATAACTTTTTAATTTATAACACAACCTTCACTAACCACTACTAAAATCTCAAAACCCAAATTTATGATTTAAAGTTAATTCAAGTGTTATCATTCATTTCTCTTACTTTCTTCATAAAACTTTAACCATGCCATACTATTTCCTTGGAATAGGAGTTTTCTCCCAATCTTTGTATCACTTACCTTAGGTGCATTACTTCTACCTTTTCAATTTTAAGCCTTTAACCATTCACCAAAAATCAAACAAACTCTAAATATACACATGATTGTGTGCAAGCCCATAATTAAATTCCTTTACAAAGCTACAAGAGAATTCCTAAATCAATAATTCCCACCAATATTTAAAAGTCAAATTTTTTATTTACAAGCCCTTCAATGACATCTCATAAGTATCAACAATATATCCAAGCTTGTCTCTTTCGATTTTAGTCCAGGTTTTTTTTTTTCTTCTTCTTTGGTCATGGCAGCAATATAGAGCACACACACAGATTCCTAGTTTCTGTAATGCCCCCCCAGCTACTCACACGCCCATATTTATGAGGAAAAAGGAAGAGATTGAAGCTTCTAACCTCAAATGAATCAACACGCACGGACAGAGGAAGGAGGACGATGATGAACAGTGAAGAAAAACTGCCTCCATGAATGAAGAAGAATAAGCTCAGCAACAAATAGAAAACGAACCTAAAAGGAAGAGATCTTTGCTCACCCAGATCTTTTATACCCACGCGAACCAGAAGCTAAGAGAAAGAAGAACTTTTCATTCTTGAATCAGCAGCAGAGGTGGATGAACAGCAATAACTCGGGAAGAAAATCACAGCTGCGGTGAGTAGATAAGCAGAGCGTCGACGGCGGCTACACGAACAACGTTGCTGGCTTCGGTGGAGGAGGAAGAAGGTAGCTTCAGTTGAGAGGCAGAGCAGAACATCGGTGCTCTCAAAACTCTTTCTTTGGTCCAGATCCACCGAGAAAGAAGAAAGAAAGAGTTAAAAAAAATCTGATGAAACCAATGGCAATTTGGTAATTTTGCATGACCAGAAAAATAAAAATTTAACCCTTCTTTTGTACTCTTCCGGATTCGAACTAGAAACCTAATATATGAAGTCTTCCTCAACTGCCACTAGACGAAGTCTCTAACTTGTTATATTTATTCCAAAAACTAATATATACACACTTTAAGTAAGTTACCCTATATATATATATAGTTTAAATTTTGTTGGGGTTATTACAATATTGAACTATCATACTCAAAAAATGACAAGCTTTCATACATATCTTCTCCGCCAATCAAGTAAAAATTAAAAGACAAGCATCTAATCAAATTACGAAAGAGTAAATTATTATCAGAACATCTGTTTTAGTGGGGGAAATCCACATGAACGGCACTGGTGCCTTACACAATGCCCTCTAAAAGTAAAAATTTACAGCCCAAACGGAAAGAGAAAATCCAGTCTTCCATCCTCGTTTGAAAAAAGTAATCAATTCAAGGCAAAATATCTCAGAAAAAAGTTAGTGATCTTAACGCTTAAGGGTCCAATTACAGTACAGTTGGACTTAATCAACAAGGGGAACATATATAATTAGTGTAATCTATCCAATGTCCAACTTAACACTTACTTCCTCCAACATTTTCCCAAGAAGCAGAAACAAGAACCAAAAATACCACAGAAAAAGAACCAAAATCCAGGTGCAAAATATAAGGAGACGAGAACCTTCTAAGACCTAGAAGAAGCAGGCAGCAAGAAAAAGCAGAGAGTATAAGAAGCATATGGATTTAGCATACCTGAAGAGAAGAAAGGCATTAAAAGGAGAGTGAGAGTTTAAATAAGAAGATTTGGACGCATTATAGGTGGATCAAAAAGAAAACAAAAGCAATCTGAGTGAGTATTGAGGAAATTTCAGAGTGCATATGGACAATAGTGCTGATGAATCCTCAATCCCCTTAATCGAAATCTTTGCTCTCCCCATCTCTCATGGCTTTTTATATTAGCCACAACAAATCAGTAAAGCTGAAATTATTCATCAAAAGGAACTTACCGAAGGCGACATCGATGATCAACGTCAAGGTGAGAAGATCAAGCAATAGTGAGGCAACGGAGCAGCGACACTAGGGGACGACAAGCAACGATGGAGTAGCGCGAGTGACATGAGGTGAAGGGAGGCTCTAGAAGCCTGAAGTAAGAATGAATCTGAAGACTAGGGCAAGGAAGAACTGGGAGAGAAAAAACGCATTGATTTTCAGGCAAAGCACATAGGGTTCAAGGAAGAAGACGGGATTCCGAGTTGCACAAATAATAAACCAAATTAATTCATTTGACGGTTAAATATTTTAACTGTCAAGTAAATGTTTTCTTAAATTTTTTTTATCTAAAATATGACGGTTATTATATTTAAATGTTAAATTTATTTATTTAATATTTGACGGTTTTATAATAATCGATAAATAAGTGGTTTCTCAATCTCCGCATCAACTTATATGACAGTTTTTAATTTAACTGTCAAATATTAAGTGTCACATAAGATTATTTTTGTAGTAGTGTTAGGTCTTCCTTTTTTTATTAATTGAACTAAAATGCACTTATGCTTATTATTTATGAAATTAAATATATGTTATTTAACTTCAAGCATATATATATATATATATATCAAATAATATATTATTAAAAATATATACATATATTTTATTTTACTTTAAATTATTAATTTGATAAAATAATTTATATTACTATATATATAATATTTTTAATACAATATTATTTTTTATCAAAATAAAATTAAAATGAAGGAAATTTAAAATATTAAATAGTTTTATTATACATTTAACCAAATTTTTATTTTCTAAATGAAAATAATTAATTACATAATTTATATGTAAATGTATTATTTTAGTTTGTGTTAAATATATTTTACTTTTATCTTCATATTTTTTCTCAAAATTTAATAAATAAATGATTAAATTTTTATCTTCTCTCAAAATGGTTAAATGTTTCACCTTCTTTTATTAAAAAAAATTTATCTACTATTTTTCAATTATCTTCAAAAAGGAATTTTAATAAAAAATTAATTGTTAAGGGATATGTGCTACAAGTTGTTCGTAGGAGCTAAATTGTCACGAGTGTAATTGGTATGGGATTAAAAATGGATCAAAAATGAGTTTAAGATTTAAATCACTCCTAAGCCTATAATTTAAGGTCCAAATTATCATTTAACTATTATAAAATATAAAATATACATATATGTATAAATAAATACTTTAATTCCTATAATTATTTTATGCTTGGATGACATTTATTTACATCAAAATATCTATATTTTTATTTTTATTTTGTTTTTATATATTGTTACTGTTTCAAATTTTTACTATCTGAAATAACAAGTCCAAGATGATAAATATATTAATTTAATTATGAATTATCCAGTCATTGAACTGTCAACCAATAGTTTGTACGGTTCAATGACTCGGGCTGGGTTGCAACTATGCAACTATTTAAGAATGCAAGTAACAAAAGCAAACGACATTTTTTCATTTTCACTTAATTTTCGTAACAAAAGATAAGACTATCCCTATTAATTTAGTTTTCACTTACAATTGCAATTCAAAAATTACAAGTAAAAATTCATAATTTACAAGTTAAATTTATAATTTAACACTTGATATAACATGAGTCTTCATAAAGTTAATTATGCCTACTTAAGACAATAATTGATCTAATTGGGATGTGTGGAAAATAATAGAGCTCATTTGGGATTTACATATTTACCTACAGGTTGTTTAATGTTAGACTTAATTAATAAATCTAATAAATCATAATTTTTATATATAATGATAATTTTTGGCTAATTTGAGTTTATAGATATTATTTAAATTATTAGCCAATTTTTGAAGAAGAATATATTTTTCTATTAATCATAGGATTTTTGAAGTTTAATTATTAATATTTTATTTCCCCATTTTTAACATAGTTTAATTCTACCAATCTTTAATTGAGATTAATTTAAATTATTATACATTATTTGAGATTTTGATCATTTTGTGTGAAAATTATGATTATAATTATTGACAAAAATTAATTTGGTTATATTTTGTGAGAGGTGGGATTTATTTTGTATATAACCTATAGTAGTATATTCATTTTGACTTTTTAGAATATGGAAGTACAAATTAATAAATTAATAGTGAAGATTAATTTTGAGCTTGAAGATGCATCTAAGGGTCAAGGTCTTGGAAGACATTTTTGAAGTTTATTAATTGTATCATGGTACATCATAGCAAGGAAAAATCAAGGGATTTTGTGTTTTCTTTTTTCTTTTAATCTTTTTTCTCATTGTCTCCTTTAGTCATTACATCAATAAACCTATCTCTTTCTCTCACCATTATTGAGCCGTCACCTCACATTTTCTCTCCCATTTATCCATTCACTATCACCGTCAGCACATCATCATTCATTTTTCATTCCAATTAATCTCTCAAAGCCACGCGCACACACCACTACCCATCCATTCCCATATTCAATTCCTTAACCCACTTCCACCACAATCACTTTCCATTCACAGCACAACCTACAAATTGCATTTCCTCCCATTAATCATCCATTATTCCTTCATCAACAATTTTCACGTGGCCATTACTCTCACAGGAAGAAGAAAAATCATGGATCCTTGAGCTAGATTGGGAGACAACTTGGGATAAACATGAAGGAAATTAGAGCTTAGGATTTACACTCGAAGGTCACAAGGGAGTGATTTTTCATTTTATCCTTTAAATTCAAGAGTTTAGGGTTATTTAGTTTTAAGTGACTCTAATTAAGTTGTTATGCTTGAGGACAATATAGTTGTAACTTGTAGATATTTTGAATCTTGGATTAGATTGATATTTGGATTAAATGTGTTGAATGACTTGCTAGAATTTATGTTTATATAACCCTTTCTTTGCCATTAGATTAATAATTGAGTTCCCATTGTTAATTTATATTAATTGTCATTGTGATGTTTGTTGCAAATTTAGATTGTTCCTTTTACCTCTTGATTGTTCAATCTGGTTGATAATTTTTCTAGTTGTTCAATTAGAAAATTTAAACATATTTTTTAAGATTATTTTGAATTAATCATCATTGGTTTTAATGACTTTAATTGGCCTAATTTATAAGCATAGCATTTGAATTATTATGAGTACTCTAGTGGATTAAGTGTTAGATTTTTGTACTTATGGGTTTCCTTTGCTTTAATTAGGTAATTAAATTTAGAAAATATTAATCATTTAGTCCTTCAACTTTTAACTTGGATACGACTTAGTCATTCAAATTTAACTTGTTGCAACTCATTTCCTTAAACTTGTTCTATTTGAAACTTCCATCCTTGCCATTAATAAATTAGACTAAATGTTACTTATGTGTATTAACTCTATTGATTGTTATCGGCGACTAATTAAAAAAATAAAATAGCAAAATGCAAAATCAAATATGAAAATTGAAATGAAAAAAGCAACGCACGTGCCCAAATCGAAAAAAAAAAAAAGAATTGAGAAAGCAAAGCAGCAAAAGGGGAAAAAAAACAAGGCCCTACGGGGGGAAGTCAATGTTTTAAAATTTGGACTAGATAGTAAATTAAAAAAGTCAATAGGTCACAAGTCTCATAGTTCAACTGGTCGGACCAGTGGTCAAATCAATAACCTAGTAATTAAATAAAATAAAATAATATATATATATATATATATAAAAGAAACAAGCTAGCAAAATTACACCACTACCCAAGTCATTAATGCAAAAACACCATAATATGTTCTGGTCAACTCATTAATACAATGCCACAAGTTCACAAGTAAAACAATCCAAAATCCACAAACCCAATATTATAAAA